CAGGATCTCAGCTGGTCACTTGGTAGAACTTGATAAGCTGATTCTGAAATTCATGTGGAATTGCAAGGGATCCCAACAGCCAAAATAATGTTGAAAAAGAAGTAAGAGGGACCTTACATGGATGAGTGAGGGCTGTGAACTGAGAGCTCCTGTCATGAGTCCTCTCACTCTTACCCCAGAAGGAATTTATTACGTGGTCATGTTTGAGAATACCAAGGATCCCCATAACTGCATGTGTTATTGTCACAAGTTCTCTGGAAGTGGTGATGCCACAAAGCCCACAGAGAGTACGCCTGAAAGACAATGCCACCATCACCTGCAAAGCATCTGCCTCCCCAAAGCTGGACCCCAAGACTTCAGGCATTAGAGGATATCAGAAGGACAAGGTGTTTGAGTTAATTGGAGAGAAGAAAGCATTACCCGACCTGGAACCATGGTGCCGCCAGAGGGGAGATGCCTCAGTGTAGCCTGGAGTCCAGCTGCGGGGGTGCAGGAGAACACCGGCGCCAGCTGGTGGTCCCCGCTGAGATGGCAGAAGGGAAGGTTTGGCTGGAAGTGGTGGGTGAGTGCCCTGCTGTTGCCATAGTGCTAGGTCATGGGGCAGAGATGCAGTTGGAACATATGGGGTGGGGGTTAGTGTGTGGGTCTAACCCAGGCGAGGGCTCCCATCCTGGCTTTATTTATTTATTTATTTATTCATTCATTCATTCATTTTTAAATTTTTTTTGGTACTAGGATTTGAACTCACAACCTTGCACTTGCCAGGCAGGTGCTGTGCTGCTGTGCTATATCCCCAGCCCCTGGGTTTCTATAAACACTTGGGCCAGCGTGAACAAGTCATTCTTCACTCTGAAATTCAGTGCTCTATCAAAGTGGATTATAGGTAAGATTGTGGGAAAATACAGATGAAATGCTTAGCATAGTGCTTGGTCCTTGCAAGAGCCCAGTAAATGATAGTGTTAGCAATGATTATATAATTCACCTCTTGTACGAGCAGTGTCACTGAAGAAGTGACAGGCCACTGGGAAAGGACAGAGGTGCTGGGCCCTGGCTGAACTGACCTGAATCCTATTCCAGCTTTGCTACTTCTAACTGTGACTGTGGCCAGTCATTTAGTATCTTTAAACCTGAATTTTCCTATGTACAAAATGGGTTGATAACTCCTACCTGCCCCATAGTAAGATATGTGTAAATAAGGTATAGAGGCGCATGCCTTTAAATACCAGTGACCTGGGAGGCTGAGGCTAGAGGATCTCAATGTTGAGGGCCACCTGGGCAACTTAGTGAGATTCTCTTTCAAAATAAAACAAAAAAAGTGTAAACAATAAACACAGATGGAAAAAATAAACATTGCTGAGTAGTAGCTCACTGGTAAGGGTGTTTGCCTGTTGTTATGTCGGTAGGTTCTCATTTAAGGCTTGCAGCATCTCCCCAAAAGCTCTTTGAGCTTCTCTTTCCTCTTTTATAAAACAATCTGATATGTGGGTGAGCTGCATGGTTTATTAGTTTGCTATGGCTCCCATAACAAAGTAGCCCTGACTGGTATGACTTAACTAAGGATGTTTATTTTCTTACAATTCTGGATTCTAGAAGGTTGGGTGGTCAGGGTGTCAGGGGGGGTGATTTCTCTCAAGATCTCTCTTCCTGGCCTTCTCTCTGTTTTCCCGCAGTCTGTTTCCTCTGTGTCTGTCCTAAATCTTTTTTCTTGAAAAGACACCAGTTACAATAGATTAGGAGCCACCCCGCCAATGTCATTTTAACTTAATTATGTCTCTAAGAATTTATCTTCAAATCTTCACATTCAGTGATACCAGGAATTCTGGGGGGGACATATAAAGTTTACGACACGGTTCATAACAAAAAGGCAGCATTTTGAAACCCTCTTAACTGTAGGTGGATCTTTGATCATTTTGTACATGTTAATACTGAGTGCAGATGTATAGTACTTAAAAAAAAATCACTGATTCTGCAACTCACAGAAAGCCTGAACAATGGCTTTTACAAAAGGAATGAATAAACTTACAAGACAGTTCAGTGGGTTCTCATATTACTCCTACCACTCTGCAGCATTTACCCTATCATTAACAGCTTCCCTTAGTATGGTGCCGTTGATTTAATTAAAAAAACAACATGGACAGGTTACCATTAATCAAAGTCCATAATTTACTCAGATTTCCTTAGATTTTACTTAATATCCTTTTTCTATTCCAGGATACCATCTAAAATACCACATACTTTCAATTTGCATGTCTCCTTTGTCTCCTTTTTGCTGTGACAGTTTCTAGACTTTCCATGTTTTTGACGTTCTTGATGATTTTGAGGAGGTCAAGTTTTTGTAAGATGTCGTTCTCATGGAATTTGTTTGCTGCTCTTATGTGACTGGGGTTTTGGCTTTTGGAGGCTGATTACAGAGGTAAAGGGGATTTGCATCACCTTGTGTCAAATCACATAATTTATGACTCTTGGTGTTGCTCTTGATCGTCTCGGTGCAGTAGTATTTGTCTGGCTCCTTCACTGTTAAGTTACCCTCCATGCTTCTGAGCTGTGGTCTTTGAGAGGAGATCGCTAGGTGTGGCCTGCACTTAAGGGGTTATGCTCCTTTCCCTCTGGGATGGAGTAGCTCCATAATTTATTTGGAATTCTTCACAGGAGTTTTTTTGTTTTTATTTTTCCATTCATTTAGTGAGTCACTTCACTGTGATTTTATTTAGGTCTCTGACCTAAATGAATTAATCTTTATAAAAAGTACAAGATCCCTGTGTAAATTCCATGTGCATTGCTGCATACCAACGTGCCACTGTTCCAGCACCATTCCATGTGAAGACTATCCCTTCTTCTCAAATTATCTTTCTTCCTTTGTCAAAGATGAACTGGCTGTGTTTATGTTAGTCTATTTCTGGCTTTCTGATCGGTACTATTGATGTATTTCTTCTTTTATCAGAATCACACTTTTTATTTAAACACAGTTGGTGGGAGATGCTTTAGGACATTTATATTTGAATAACTAGCCCCCAATTCATATGGCTATACCTACCTGCAGGAGGAATGGAGTGTGCATTTATCCTGGATGTGTCATGTCCAGCTAAGAATGCTTGGGAGTAGAAGTCTGCAAGAACACAAGGCTTCCTGTACAGTACCTGACACAGAACAGTTGAAGAAACTCTACTTTCCAAAATTACCATGTGAGTCTAGGTCACAGCATGGCAGCATCTCCCTGGCAATGGAACCTGCTTACTTGGTTCACTCAGCGCTCCATTCAGTTCACTCACCATTCCTAAGTCCTGGCCTGGGTCAAGCATGGGGCTCAGAATCAGCAAGTTTCTACCCATCCTCCAGGAATTCCCACTTTGTTATGGCAATTCAGCAGGTCTTCACCGCATTGTTGGGCATGGTTTTACTATCGCCTGTGTCTCCAAATCTCCATCTTTGAGAGAGTGGGCACCTATATTGTCTGCCTTACCTGGTTATAGTAGAAGTGAGGCTGATGTGTATGTTTGGCAGAAGTCGCTTACCATGAGACAAGGGAGGAAAAGGTAGCTGGTTTTGGGCCCAACCCTGTCTTTTCTTCCTTGGCAGCTAAGCCAGCCAGCACAGTGTTTCTGGAGCAAACCACAGGAAAAGTTCTGAGAGTAATGGCACATACCTCATGTGTCAGTCCAGTTGGTTCTACCCAGAAGACACTAACATAACACGGGAGAAGTGCACCCAGAGGTTCCCCAGTACCAAAGAATTTCCGAGGACATCTGGACTGCTTTCAGCATCAAAAATGAGGATGGTATTCTTACTATCACCAGCTTCTTGAAACTCCGTGCCTGTCTGGAAGACAATGAGGCCCTCTGCCAGTGTGTGGTGTGGCATCCATCCTTGCACACCTCCCAGAGGCTGAACTTCACACTGCCTGTTCGAGGTAAGTGTCTTCTTGCCCATTTGCTCATTCTTCACCTTGGTTCCAGGGCAGTCTAAGGTCTTTGCTAGTGTTTGGTGGCAGAAAAGAGTAAGCTTGGGCTAATGGAACAAGCTATGGTCTGGCCCACCTCAGCCCCAGAGGCAAGTCTGAGTTCAGTCCCTGTGCCAGGCAGTTGGTGTGACAGGTGGAGAGGGGTGGCAGTAGCCATCAAGTAGAAACGGGGCTATTTACCTGCTCATGGCACCTTCATGTTTCTGGATAGTCCTTGTGGCTTGGAGTCAAAAGCTTGTCTGCTGCTAGGAACGAGGGCAAGGATCTTGCCTGCGTCCTTCCATGATAAAGTGTTGTTGGGGGAAAGGGCAGCACCTCTTTTAAGCCAGGCTCCAAGGCCACCACTCACTGTTCTCTGATAGAGGCAAATTAATGGTCCTTAATCATCTGTGTCCCAAGAAGACAAGATCATAGTAAGGTGATCCTACAGATGCCCACAGGTCTGTGCAGATGTATATACCTGATCCTAAATAACAGGACTTCTTCTAAAACCTCTCCCCTGTTTGTTTTGGGGGGCTCATGTGTTGGTTTCCCAGTTCGTATCTGTGTTCTTGGGTAGGAAGTGCTCTGTTGGTAAAATGAGTGTTCATGAAACAACTGGGAGCACTAGGGGATGTGAATGGGATAAGCCAGATTGGACCTTGGATGATCCAAAAGGAGAAGTGAATTGTTCTTTAACCAAGGGTTGGGCTACGTGTGGGCCCTGTGTGCAAGGTATGTGTGGACCCCAGAGGGAGCAAAGTCGAAATATGCTTTGTGTTCATGCTGAAAGGGCTTTGTCTGAATGGTATGAACATACGCGGTAAGAGATGGTGTAGTCTGGAAGCTGGGAAGATGTGTATGACACGCATGTGTGCTATGTAGTGTTTAACACTACCCTCTTTTTCAAACAAGTGTTCAGCACAGTAAGACCCCAACTTACGAGCAAGTTCAGTTGTGGGAGAATGTTGGTAAGTTGGGTCCATTTGTAAGTCTGACCATGTGAGTCTCATACACCTTTGACAGAAATATACAGTGTAAAGTATAAAACAAACAAACAAAATAATATAAATGTACTATTTTTACTTTTACAGTTACTTTACAATGGTGTTACAGAACAGCTGGCATACAGGGGACTGCATGGTTACTGCCCTGTGCTTCCTAGCAGTCCTTCCACATCCCCACTGCTTTTCCTCTTGCTTCTGGACTTCCTGGGCTCTGACTGAGGACTGTGCTACCGTACACTATCTCACTGCACCATAAGCACACAGCAGCACCACGGCAATGTCCAGCAGACGCATGAGCTACTTCACACATATGATTTGTTCACATCTACGAATGTTCACAATGGGAGGCCTGTTTTTATCTGTGACAGTGCACAACTCGAATGTTCATAAATTGGGGGCTTCCCGTACTCAGGTGTGGGAGATGTGTGTGACGGGAATGGTGATGCTGAGACCTGTGGCTGGGCGCTGTTGGTTGGATCTCTTGATAGGAAAATGACACGAAGCCCACGGGTGCTAGCAGCAGTTGTTTTCTGTGTGGCGTCTGTGGCTGTTCCGAAAGATTTCTTCTTACTGTTGTTCCTTTTTTTTCTGCAGAAGCTAAGATAGAGCTCATCCAGATTATTACTTTCTCTTCTGCTGGACTTACTTTAATAATTTTTCTTTATATTTAGAGAAGGTAAGGGGCTCTGTCTTAGTCACTTTTCTTGTGGCTGAGACAAAATACCTGACACTCGAAGTTAAAGGGGGGTAAGGTTTATTTAGTGCACATTTTATAAAGCTTTCAGTCCATAATTGGCTAGCCCCAAGGCAGGGTGGCTTGGCAGAGCAGAACAGTTCATAGCAGACAGAACGTAGCAAAAGCAACCAGGGGCTTTAGCAGCTTTTTTGTCCCTTTTATACTCTATCTAGGCTACCAGGATTGGGCAGTGCCAAATTACTCAGTGGACGGATTTAGTAATCACACATCCCTACTCCCAACATTGCACCATGAACCGATCACACATTCTAGATCCAGCCACTTCTCAAAAGCCCCACCTTAGACCTCATGAGGCTTTGGCGGGACATCTAGACACAAGCCATAACAGGCTCTGGAAGAGAGTGAAGTCTGTTGTTTTGGATTTGGCTCCAAGATCATGTTCAGTGGACTACATAGTGAGTTTAAGGCCAGCATGGACTACATAGAGAGACCCTATTTAAAAAAAAAAAACTCCAAAAATATATTTTTATGTATTTATTTTTGTTCCGTTCCTGTTTTAGGTTGGTTTGTTATACAGCAAAAGCCAACTGACAGCTACACAGGAGGCTGAGCTTGAAACCTGACGGTGTGGTAGGCTTGAGATGTGCTGCCCAGACCCCTTTGACGGAGAGCCTGAGCGAGGACTGCAGCCAGCCAACATGAGCTCAGCAATGTCCATCTCACTTGAGCCCATCTGTGCGGTCCTGGCACAGGCTCAGCCAATGCCTTATCCTTCCAGGAGCTCCTCTTGGGGTTTTGGGACTTTCTCCCCATTGTCTTTACATAATGAGGTTCTCCTCCTCCATCCTCCCCCTGCCCTCCTCCCCCTTCACAAATAGCCTGCAATGTGTCTGAGGCTTCCCTTCCCTTCCCTCTCTCCTTCATCTTTCCCAGGAATTCTTCTGAACTTTGGACTCCCTTTAGCATGTGCTTCCCAGAAGACCCCAAGGGACCCAAAAAGGGACTGAGCAGTATACTAAAGGACATGGTGCTTCCGTGGTTTCCTCCATGGCTATACTGGCTGATCTCACAAAGAGACAAATCACAGAGACCACTCCTGAGAATGAGGATCCAACTGCATGTCTTTCCTGAGGACCAAGAATCCTGCTCATGTTGCAGGAAAACTGAGTCAACAGTAGCCAGGAGCTCAGGAGAAGAAAGACAACTTTATTAAAGCCACTGGTCCCCAGAAGAGTAATCTGCAAAGTCTGAGGCACTGATTACAGAGTTTAACTTTTCTATAGGGTGGCAAGTAGGAGGTACAAAAAAATCTAGGTAAGCTTAGCTGAAGGCTATGGTTCAATGGGTATCTTCTGGTGGGCACAGATGTATATAGCAAAGTTGTTATTAGCACATTCACAGAAGTTTCAATTTGATGCCAAATCCTATGATGTAGCTGAGTTCAGTGGCATAGAATAGAATGGCTGTAGTTAGGACAGGATTTCAGCTTCACTGAAGCACAGACTGTCCAGGCTGCCTTCCTAAGGAGATGGAACTATGTAATGATCTTCATTTCTCTTCCAAGATGTGTTGGAAAAAGAAGACACAGTTGGAATTGAACCAAAGACAGTTCCAGTTGTGTTTACTTTCCTCTGGGTCACCCTGAAATTAACCTTTCACCTTCCCCAGTAGCAATGGTATTATTTAAATGCAATAGAGATGAATGTGAAACAGAGCTACACAAAGTCCGCTTGGATTCAGCCGGGCTGTTGGTGGTGTGGTTAGGAGTTGGGACATTCCTGTGCTGCACAGAATGAGATCACTTGCTGACAAGCAGGTTTAGGATTAGAAGAACACAGTGTGCTTGGGCTGTACGCTGGGGAAAGCTGGAGGGTGACGCCGACTGTACCGTTCACCTGTATCCTCTGCTTCCCTGTGAAGATCACGTATGGTGCAGTCAGACATGCACTCTGCATCAAATGTTCTGCTCATTAGCATCAAGCATGGAAGGAACTGACATCAGGGAAAGGCACATCCCCCGTCGGAGCCCAGGTAGGCTAGTCTGGGCAGCCTGAGCTTCCCATCACTCCAGAGCTGGGCCTGCTCTGAGAAGAATTAGAATGAGGTTTAGAAAGTAGCTGTCTAGACTGGACACATCAACATTTTACACGTGCTTCTCACTCCTACAACTATTCTCTAAGGAAGGCACTGCTAGGACAGATGAGGTAACTGAGGCACAGAGAGGGTCTCTGACCAAAGCCCTACAGCTACAGGCAGGACTGGAACCCAGGCAGGTGGCTGGACAGCGCACCTTCCATTCCTTTAACATCTGTGGTGCCGCCACCCTTCTCCTTCCATGGGCACTTCAGCCTTCCAGAAAGGCCCTGGGAGGGAGGCAGGGCCCAGGCTGCTGAGTCTTGTAGATGCCCAAAAGCAGAGATGACCAGACAGGTTGGCAGTGGCCGGACGGGCTGAGTCTAAGGGGAAAGTCCTCTCTGGCTGGGGGCAGAGGTCCCTTTCCTCGCCTCCTTGCTAGGGCCATGGCACGCCTTGGACATGGAGTGACTGCTGCTACCCTGTGCCCTCCCTCTCCACCAACATGCTCCAGGCCTCCCCAGCACAGAACAGCCCAGGGTTAAAGTTGTGGCAGGGCTTTATTGACAACGGGAAGACAGAATTCTGGGCAAGGACATGGAACTCCTCTGAGAGTGCAGGCTCAGATCAGGCTTAGGGGCCTCTTCACTCTGGGGAACTTACCCACCCCAACATGCGTAACTATCCAATACCTCCTGTTTCAAAAACCCCAAGGCATCTCCTCCCCCAACCACATACCCAGCCACCTTCTAGAAAAAGTGAGTCAGTGCTGTTGCAGAGGAACTGGAGCAAAGTCCATTCTAGGGCCCATCACTGGAGTTGGCATGTGACCCAGTGCACTAGCCCCTCTCTACTGGGCAAATCAAGGTCTGTCCAGTCCACCCCGGTCTTCCAGAGTGGGGACAGCATGGGACCAGCAGCCCCAGCCCACAAAGCCCTCTCTGTACAGAGACACTCGGGTCGTGGTGCTCTCAGGCTCAGAACGCATCCGTGGCTGCCATTTTACTTACAGTCTGAGCCCCAGTCTCCCTGTGTCCAGATCACAACATGATGTCACTCACCCTGGCCGTGCTCTCTCACCTGTGTCCAGGACTGTGTCTCACACTGCTCTGGCCGCGTGGGCCTTCTTGGTGTTTTCTCTAAGCTTGCTCCCACTTCAGAGTCGGTGGACTTGAGTTTTCCTCTTTGTGGAGCATTTCCTCTAGATCATTACATGGTCTCACTTCTGTCAGGTCTGAGCTCAAATTTTCATTCTTCTGAGAGACCCCATGGTCCCCCTAATTAAAGTATTTTCCTTTCTTTGCAACACTTGACTTGTCCTCCTCCCTCCAAGCAAAAAACCCATATGGACATCATATGCAGTGTAACTGAAGCTCACCAGTTCACTTTAGTGACTTTTACCTGAATATTTGAGCTGCTAGTACTGAACTGAAATCTCTGTTGAGTGGTAGCTCCCCAAGTTTCCTTTTTTTTTCAGAACTGGGAAGTGAACTCAGGACCTCATGCTTGTCAGGCAGGGGCCATGCCACTGAGCTACATCCTCAGGCCACACCCCAAGTTTCAAATGGATTTCTTTGGCTTTTATGGAATTCACCTTTTTAACTGAATTTAACACAGACTGTAGAAGGTGCTGAAGAGGATTTCACGAGGTTATCTACTTTCGATTTGAGTTAGCAAGTTGTGCCTTTTTATGAAAAGTGCTAAGAGCATTTAAACTTAAACTCCTTACTGCTTGGCTAAAACACTTTTTATTCTGGAATGGTAATTTTTTTCCTCAAGCAGATGGTTTCAAGAGGAGAGGAAGACAATATCAACCTAATTAGTCATTAGGTGACACAAATATAATGATCCTGAGATATCAGGTATATATGTATTTTGTACTATCAAATTTGAAGCATAAAATAGAGACAGATATCTATTTTCTGATTTAGTATAATGTGGAGTGTTTTGTTTCAATTTTTTCTACCAATATCTGTGGAGGTCAGACTGGCCCTAATTGTCATGCATTCATATTGCAGCATTGATTAGAAAACAGATGTAATCCCTAGGTAATTTAAGAAAATTATTTTATATTATGCATACATTTCCCTTTAATCAGGTTGATACTAACAAAGACTGATCATGACTCTGGAAGCATCTTTGAAAGCTACACACAAAAAGGCATTCTTGGAGTCAGATATTTGCAAGGTAGTAAGACCTACTTCAAACTGTCTATGTAGTCAAGAAATTCTACATCAGTTTACTTTTATTTCCCATTATGCTTATGTGCAGTTTTACTGCCTTAGTTTTAATATAAAATAATGAAATGTCTTCTTGGAAAGCTTGCAACAATTGATTCATACTGCATATAATTACAAGTTAAAAGTTGCAGTTTTTTCTAAGTATAAAATAATCTATGTTATTGCCATGTGTTTGAGGCTAGCCTGGGCTACATAGTGAGTTCAAAACTAACCTAAACTACATACTGAGACCATATCTCAAAAAAAAAAAAAAAAAAAAAAAACACCAGAAAGAATAAATCAGAAGTTATATATAATTCTACCTCCTAGATGTTGATGCTTAAGTTATACATTTTATCATGGCCATTGGGATGAGTACCAGCATATCTATGTATATATGTATAATATATATTATAGTATTAAATAGTATATTTATTTCAATTTCTAGATATATATTCATATGTGTGTACATTAAATATCTTTATACTATAAAATGAAACTCATAATATTTCATCAACGTTTTTAATGTCATTTTTCAAAAACATGATTTAAAAATGACCAACACAATTGTATGGTTATAACATCACCTATATAAACATTCATCCAGATTTAGACATTTTGGGAAAATCCTAGTATTATGGTAATAAATAACATTATCTAGTATATATTATTAGAATTCTTTACATATTTGTGCACAATCTATGAGGATTTTCTTGGTATTTGTTCCTTTGAATAGATCCATTCTTAAGATTTATGGAAACTTTCTCATCTCTGAATATATCTTGCCAAATTATTCCAGAAAAGTATACCACTTTATGCTACAGTCAACTGTGAATAAATGAACACACAAGAAGCTTTAAAAGAATAGTTGGGAAGTATCATCCAAAACTGGTTAAAGAGAGAACAGTGATTTCTTTCTACATAAAAAATATAAATGATTGCCCTTAAAATTAGATTTTAATTGTTCAGAAAATAGTTTGGTATGTTTTGAAGGCTACTGATATATTTTTGAAAAGAACTGAAACAATTTACATTTCCAAGGGATTAAAATGTCCATTGAAAATATTCACAACAAATTGAATGAAGGCAAGGATAGAATATCAGATCTAGAAGACAGGATAGTGGCTAGCAACCATGAAAAGAAAAAGGCCATTTGAAAAACAGCAAGAGGCCATGAAAAATTAATCTAACAACTGCAAGATGAAGCAAAGAAGAAGAACAAAATATTGACTGGAATCAATGAAAAAGCTGGAGACAGCACAAATGCCATAAAAAAATAAATCTTTTCACAGAAATAATGGCAGAAAACATTCTGAACATGGATAAGGAAATTGACATACCAACCTGTAAAAGCCCCACCTCAGACATCAAAGGTTCTAGTTTAATTCCCAGTTCCCACCCCTGCTGTGGGGTTAGATCTTCATGTTTACCATTTCTGGAATGTATGGTTGTAAACTGGTTGTAAACGCCCTGCCATTCCTGTACTCCCAAAATGTATTGTTCTTCCCCTAAATGCTCTACCCCTCCCGGATTCTCGGAATGTATTGTTCCTAAGTCCCCTCATTGTTACAGATGTGACATGTGTTTACCAAACAGGATGCGGTTTTAGGGTATAAAAACTGCTCTCATCCCTGGATCGGCACTGGTCTGATCCTTCCCTTCGTGGAGGCTCTCCGTCAGTCCCTGGCCAGGAATAAAGGCTCATCCTAAATTCCAATTGGCGGCCCGTGCCATTTGGTTCGTTTCTGGTTGCGAGTCCAGAACACAACCAATGAAGCATATTGAACTCCAAACAACCATGACCAACATAATAATCAAGATTCCAGATTCAGCACAACAACAGAATATTAAAAGCAGTTACAGAAAAGAAACAAATCACTTATAAAGGAAAGCACATCAGAATCATAGCAGACTTCTTAACATAAACCCTCCAATCAAGAAGAGCTTAGAGTAAGGTATTTCAAGTCCTATAAGAAAATAACCTCCAACACAGACTGACATAACAAACAAAACTATCTTTCAAAATCAATATAGAAACAAGATACTTCCACAACAAAGAACAACCCAAGAAATTCATGACCACCAAACCAGCTCTTCAGAATGCTCTGCAGGATACATTAGACTGAGAAAACAAAGACCACAAGCATAAGAACACCAATAGAAAGAAACCACCAGGGAGAGCAAGCAATTAAATAGAGGGGAAAAACAGGGAACCAACAACAGGAAAATAATATGTGCAAGATAAGCCAATACATATTTGTTATAACCATCACTATGAATGGTCTCAATTCATCAATCAAACAAAACAGACTAGCAGAATGCATCAAGAAACAAGATCCAGGCCAGGGAGACAGCTCAGTAGCAAAGTACCCGCCTGGCAAGCACGAGGTCGTGAGTTCAATTCCTAGTACCCACCTCAAAAAGAAGCAAGATCCCACAATATGCTGCATTCAAGAAACACATTTAACTCAAAAAAATTTCATAGACTAAAAGTCAAAGGATGGAAAATAATACTCCATGTGGCAGGATCCAAGAAAAACACAGGCATATGTATTCAATTTGAAGATAATGTGAACTTCAAGCCAAGACTGATCAAAAGATTCAAAGGACACTACATACTTGTTAAGAGAAGACTCCAAGAAGAAGAGGTAACAATCATAAATATATATGCACCAAATACTGGTGTGCCACACTACATAAGGCAAATATTAACAGACATGAAAAATCAAATGAGCATTAACACAGCTGTAATGGGAGATATTAATCCCCCACTCACAATGACAAAAAATCAACAAAGAAATATCAATTAAAACAAACCTGTGAAGAAATGGACTTAGTAAATGTCTACACAGTGTTCCAACCCACTACATCAAAATATACATTCTTCTCAGCTGCACATTCCCCAAAATAGACCATATATTAGCCCATAGAACATAGTTAAGTAAATGCAGAGGAATTGAAATTATCCCATGTGGAGAAGGACATTATCTGACTAGAATGCATTGAGGACACAATGATTTGTTTGTTAGAGTTTCTTAAGATAAGGCTTTATCATACATTCTGGACTAACCTTGAGGTTTTTTTTTGTTTTTGTTTTTGTTTTTTTTTGTTTGTTTGTTTGTTTGGTTTTTCTCTGGTACCGGGAACCGAACTCACGACCTTGCGCTTGCCAGGCAAGCGCTTTTTGCCGCTGAGCTAAATCCCCAGCCCCCTAACCTTGAGTTTAAGATCCTCCTGTCTCAGCCTCCTGAATGCTGGGATTATAGGCATGTTTTAGGTGATCTTTTAATTATTCTTGCTAAAATGTTTGGTATCCACACATTTGTCCTAGCCAAGTCCTTGGTTCTTGCTCAATAAATGGTGACTGAATTTGGTATTTGGCAGCAATCCTAGAGGCTGCTAGCACCTGATCACAGAATTTTGGCTCTCGCAGTTTGATGTTTTTCTTACTTCTTATATATCTGCGGACACCTAGTTCGGGGGATCCGCTCACCCTGGACAGAGTTGGAGGAGAAGTCTGACAATCCCATGCCTATTATCAGATCATAGTGCAATAAAATTGGAAATCAACAGAAAAAGAAACCACAAAAACTATATATACACAGGGAAATCAAACACCACACTCATGAACAACCAGTGGGTCACAGAAGAAACTAAAAAAGAAATTAAGTAGTATCTACAATTAAATGATAATGCCAATACAACATACTGGAAATTATAGGATGCAATGAAAGCAATTCTACAAAGAAAATTTATAGTGGTGAATTCTTATATCAGGAAAGCAGAATGAGCTCAAATAAACAACTTAGTGTTGAATCTCAAACTTCTAGAAAAGGAAGACCAAATCAAACCCAAAGCTCATATGATAGAGGGAAAAAAATTTTTTTTTTTTTGTCCTTTTGAGACAGGGTCTTGCTATACAGTTCAGGCTAGCCTTGAGCTCACTTTGTAGCCCAGGCTGGCCTTAACTCGCAACAATCCTCCTGCCTCAGCCTCCCGAGTGCTGGAATTACAGGCATGCACCACCACGCCTGGCAAGGAAATTATTAAGATCAAAGGAGAAATTAATACAATTGGGACTAAGAAAACAATACAAAGACTCAATGAATCAAAAAGTTTGTTCTTTGAAAGATTAAATAAAATTTATAAAACCCCTAACCAACCTTATCAAAAAGAGGAAAGAAAATACTCAATTCAAGCAATTAGGAATATGAAGGGAGAAATACCAATGGATTCTGTGGAAATCCAGATCATTAATACCTACTTTGAGAACCTGTACTCTAATAAGATGGAAAATACAGAAAAAATGGACAGATTCCTAGAAACATATGAATTGCCAAAGATGAATCAAGAAGATATAAAAATTCTAAATAACCTTGATATGAGTCAATGAAATTGAAACTGTCATTAAAAACTTACCAACAAAGGAAAGCACAGACCCTGATGTAGTCACTGTTGAATTCTACAAGAAATTTAGAGATACTCTCATGCCATTAATGCTGAACCTCTTTAATGAAATTGAAAGAGAAGTAACACTTTCAAAATCATTCCAGAAGCAAGTATTACCCTCATACCTAAACCAGAGAAGGACCCAACCAAGAAAAGAAAACTACAGGCCAATCTCCCTAATGAACATAAATACAAAAATCAATAAGACATTAGCAAACAATCCAGCAAATCATCAAGATTACACACTATGACTGAGGAGGATTCATCCCAGGGATGCAGGGATGGTTCAATATATGCAAATCAATAAATGTAATACATCATATTAAAAGACCCAAAGACAAAAATCATATGATCATCTCAATAGACACCAAAAAAGCATTTGACAAAGCCCAACACCCATTCATTATAAAAACCTGCTATGGTTTGGGTCTAGATGTCCCCTTAAACCTCATGCAGTCATGTGTGTTTCTAGAATTGTGATTGATTCATGGTCCAATGCTGGGATTATGGGTGTGAGTGCTACACACACCCTAGGGTGGGTAGTCTGCATAGGATATAAGCGAGGGAAAAAGGCTTGCTTTCTCCTGCTGCCCCTTTTTTGCTCTTGATGCTTTTGCTGTTTTCTGCCACCATGAACTGTTGCCCTCTGCCATGTACCACTCTGCCTTGGAGCCAGCCAAGTATGGAGTGAAAGCTCCACAAACTGTGAGCTAAATAAACCTTTCCCTCTTTAATTTGGGTGTTGGTTATTTTGTCCCAGCAACAAGAGAAGTGAAACCAAGACAGAATTTGGT